ATTAGGTCTGAAATTATCCATCTTAAAACACCTGAGCCTACATACATAGTTTTGCATCACATTACACAGTACTACACATCACAGAAAAGTCTATTTTCACATTTTACTGCTCAGAACCAGTGTAAACCTGAGCCATGAACCACGTTGCAATTTTTCAGTTGCTTGTTTTCATATTACTTACTATACCTAACCACATTATGCACACCATTTGACAACTACAGCCTCTACAATTTACAGCCTTCCATGTAAACAAAGCTATAGAAAGACTTAGTTTGACATTTTGGCTGAGTAAAATATCTCCACTGGACCTCTCATCTAAAAAAATGAGGATAACTACATTTGTTCTTTGCTATCTTTCAGAGTTGTTGCAAGGATTAGGTAAGATTTTTCAAAAGCTGTAAAATATAATACAAATGTTAAGATATTATGATAGATACTTTGAAGTATTTGAATAATAAATTATATATTCAGAGTACCAAGGAATTAGTTTTTTCATATATGCATACAAATTATGAATTCAGAAATACTGGTTGTTAGGCAAATTATACTTTAGGTATGTTGGAGAAAGAAAAATCTATGTAAGAGAATGTTAAAAGCTTTCAAAAACAACAACAAAAAAATCTTTGAAACGATGTGATCCACAGTATTAGCTTCACTTCAGAAGAAAAATTAACGGTGCTGGTATATCATTTTATTACTTTGATAAAATAGTAAATCATGCTTTTAAACCTTAACTCAAGTGTATTAACTCCTAATATATTTTATATTTTAACAGATCCTTCATTTTTCCTGTTATTTGTTAAATCTCATTTTTTTTTCATATTATGTAACAAAAATCATGCTACAATGAAAGCCCAAAACTCTAATTTCAATCAACTACACCTACACGCCCCCCTTCCCTGAGGGGAGGGGAGAACCCACCCACTGGACAGATAAAACAGCAAAAATAAATATCCCTCTTTCTGACTAGTCTTAAGGAGAAACAGTAAAATAATGATTGGAAGAAGGAAAATGGCTTCTGAGAATTACTACTCTCCATCAGGCGTCACCTGATTTTACAATGTTTTGGAATGCAGCCACACCCATACTAACTACAGCTGCTTTTGCTGCAACAGCACGGATGAGCTGAGGGGCAATAAAAAGGCCACTTGCCCTTGAAAGAAGTTTGCCAAACTCTGAGCTAAGCAATCAATATTGAAAACAATATGCATTCCAAATAAATCAAAATGTTGTTATTTATACAAGAAACACTATTTCTGTTAGGTCTAGCTGATTCTTACTTTGGTTCTGTTGGGTCGTGGTCAATCTGCTCACTTCTTACCCTCTCCACTCCCACTACCCTGGTCCAAGACAGCTTCTTTTCTCCCCTGGATTACTGCAATTGTCTCTTATCTGATCTTGCTGTCTCAATCCACTACAGTCTAACCTCAACCACAGCAGGCAGACAAACCCTTTAAAAACTTGTCAAGTGGTAGCTCTCCTTTTTTCCATACCTTCGAAGGACCCCGTTTCATTCACAAGATAAGCAAAAGTTGTCCAAATGGCCTAGAAAGCTTTATATGATTTGGGCCACTTTATTTCTTACATCATCTTTTATTACTCTCCTTTTCCTTTATTCCCTCTCCTGCCACAATAACTTCCTTCTGTTCCTTGAACACACCAGGCTTATTTTGAGTGAAATTTTTTTATAACTACCATTCATTCTGCTTGCAGTACTTTCTTCAGACTTTTGCATGACTAGTTGGGTGACTCCAAGTGTTTGCTCAAATCTCATCTTAAAATGAGGCCTGCGCAGGCCACTCCACCCAGAACTCCGTATTCTCTCATCTTCTAACTATTTATTGTACAAACGTAATTTATGCTGTTGTGTTTATTATTTGTCTTCCCTCCCACCTTACTGACTCTCAACTTTAAGAGCTTGGAACACTGGTGTAGTCTGTGGGAAGGGGGGAGGATAAATACTGCTAATGAGCTAAGGAAGCGAAAATTACATGCTATTCTTTAAAAAGTACTATAGGCAATTGAGCAGGAGGAAAGCGGAGAGGAGAATAAATTTTCAAGTTAAAATAAAACCCTGCCAACTTTAAGTCCTTAAATTACATGGCTTATTGCCTTTAAAGTTAAAACTGGCCAAGAAAAGAAGAAGAAAAAAACCACATTTTAAAAAAGAACAGGGATTTTGTAGAAGAGAATTATCTAAAAAAGCCAATTAAAAACAACTATGTGCCATTCCTGCAGCTTATTGTTTTAACAACCATATCAAACGAATTTAGCTTGATCAATCAGTATAATTCCACAGATGGGATATGTCTAGATGTAATTGTATAAACAGCCACGCCAAAGGTCTTACACCTGTATCTTGCTTTCAGAAGACTAATGAGACTGCGGTGTCAAATGAAGACACGGTTCAGACTATGAAATAAAGCCAGAGTTGATGTCACATTAGCAATGCAGCAAAGCAGTGTCTTGTGCCTATTCCCATAATCCCAAAGGACTGCTACAGCAGTATTTAGCAATGGCCTCAAAGAACAAATGAATACGACAGTTAACATACCAAAACCAATAACGGGACCCCTCTGATTCAGAGGTGATAACTTCAAAAACATGTTTGGTTGACTTAAAATCTTAATCAGGCTAAGACCCTGAAGAATTACATATCCAAAATATAACTGCACTCTGTAAATTAAAAAAAGAAAAAAGAAATCCTTTATTTTGAAATGGTATTGACAGAACTAATCTTAAGGAATGTCTGCGTGATTAAAGGTGGCAAAGCAATCTAATAAGTCATTATAAAGTGTTATTTAGAATGATTATCCATCAAATAAATCATTTATCGTAACTGTCAGGGAAAAGCCAAAGAGTGATTTTTGACTTAGTCTACAATTAAACACTTTTTAAAATAATATAAAAACAGCTACCACTTACTCAGTGTTTACTATATGTCAGATAGTGTGCTAAGTGCCTAAATTATTGACATGACCTTTAATCCTCACACTACTTTATAAGGTCTACTATCTACATGTTACAGAGAAGGAAAATGAGGCTTAAATAAGCTAAATCGAATGAACCTGAAGCTACGTACATTTATTCCAAAGACAGTGCTCTTAACCATGACTAGAACTGCCGCCCTGAATCTTCCTTGTATTTGCATGTCAGTATAAATAGGGCTGAATGTTATCTTATTCTACTTTGTAAATGTTTCATAAATGTTAACTGATTACAATGGAAATAATTTTTTGTTTAGTCTTTCACAGTTTTGTGTATTTTAGAGCTGTTTACTATTAGAATAAGTAGGTGGGAAGTTTTAAAGTAAAATCTGCCTCACAGGTGCCCAAGATTAGGTAACTGACATAATTGAATGTGAAAACAAGAACCAAAGTCATTACATGTAGGCTTTGGAAACTCAAAGGAAGATAATAAAAACAGATCTATTAGGAATTGAAAGACCTGGAATCCACTCCCGGTTCTATCAATTTGTGCAACTCTGGCCCAGCCATTTACAATTCATTTTTCTCATCTACAAAGCAAAAGCGAGGGACTACATATCCCAAGTTTTAATACGTCATAATTGTAATATAAGCTCTTAAAACATATATGGGATGGAGGGAGGGAGGGAGGGTGAGATTACTTAAATCCTGATTTTTTGTTACAAAATATATGTTTTTAAATAGGAATTTATATTTACTATGCCAAAATTCCCTCCAATCTATTTAGGGAACAGGTGTTCTCTAAGTAGATGTTTTGATAATAGTAGAGTTTTAGATACATAAATTACCGATCCTTCGGACTCAAGGCTATGTTCTTAATCTCATCATCTTTCCTAAGTCACCTTCAGGAATATGTCAGTTGTGTTTGCCTACCAAAACTTAAGAATGAGGGATAGTTACGCATATAAAGCGCCCAGCTTGTTACAGTGCAGGAATTCAATAAATGCTTGTTTTATGTCATTATTATTTGTACTGACTTATTACATAAGTAAAAATCCTGTCTGTGTTACATTAGACCAGCAGAGGAAGTACTACGATCCATATTCCTTTTTTAACCCTGACAGATAATAAACCAGATCAAAAAGGGGGATACTTTGGGCCAAAGGACACGTTTTAGCAGGCAACAGGGTTTACACACCAAGTACCGCGCCTGTCCACATAACGACAATACAAACAAAACACTGCTGTTTGGAATTAGCCACTCTGACTTTCCCGTGGACGTCCCTCCTTCCCTCCAAAAATAGACCATCCACCACCAACACACAGCTCTGTTGGGGTAAAGACGCGGAAGGCCACAGCACCCCTTGAGAAAGTGACATCGGGGCACGGTGCGCACGTTCCGTGTCACGCCAAGCAGCCCAGCAAGGGGCCACCCCTCTCCCCAGCCGAAGGGCAGCCCGGAGAGTGGAAGAGGCGCTGCGGGTATTTAGTGGCAGCTGTAGCCATTCTCCTACTCAACCTCTCCCAACCAAGGCAAGCAGGGCGTGTCTACAAAGTCCAGCTTGTGCGCCGAGCACGGCGACTGGGGCAAAGCGCGGGGCACGCGAGGGACTGGAGCGAGAGGCGTCACAGGCGGACTCTCGCAGGGCAAAGGAAGCGGCGGCTGCAAGTGAGAGCCCCGCCAGGGTACCTTGCGTCCAGCGGCAGAATATGGTGTCCGAGAGACCCGGGCTGCTCTTGGTGCCCCACACCAGCTCCATTAGCTCTTTAGTCAGTTCGGACATGATGGTGAACCGGCGGGCGGGTCTTCGTTTTGCGGACTCCTGCCCCGGCACATGGGGAAGGGGCAACTCCGGAGGCAGCAGCTGCGGGACGGCGGCGGCAAACGAGTTGGAAAGTGAGGCAGGAAGAAGGAAAAGGGGATGAGAGCTACTTGCAGGGACCGCGCCTGTCAAGCCAGGTTGGGGCAGCAGCGAGTTTCCTGTACCGGAAGTGCTGGTTCCACTTCCGGCTCCTCTTTAATTCCCGCCCCTTAGAGGCAGCGGGCCCGGAAGTCCCCTCCCCGGAAGTAAAATTGGAGGCGGAAACAGCCACGAAAAGCGGTGGAAGTAGCCTCTGGCCTTTCTGAGCCGTCTGGGATCCTTTGGTGGGGTGGTAGTTTTTGTGTTGGGGGGTGGGGGCGTCAGCGTGTTCCTAACCTCCAGGAATACCTCCTTCCTCTAGGCACTGCTCTGGGCTCAGGTGGAGGCTCTGAGGCCCAGGCCCTAGGGACTAGAACTTATGCCCATTGCTTTTAATTTACAGTATTAATTTTGCAACACTGAAACTATAAGGCAATGGTTGAGTCACAGTGCGGTAACATCCTTACCTTTGTAGGGTGCTTCTCATAAGCTGGAGGCTGTCCAACCTCTGTGCTTCAATAAAGACCAACTAGACCAACTAGTACTTAAAAACATGGCAAATAATTTGGCATAATGTGCATCAGAAATGCTTCTACCACGTGCAACACAGAATTACAAGGTATTTGTAGCGAAACAGATTGAAAGCAACCTGTTTGTAAATGTTACAGCATTTTCATCTCCAGTTTTTGAGGCTGCACAGTGTGTGGCCAACACCTGGACTAAAATTTAGTTTTTATTCACCAAACTAGTGGTTAAAATGAGTTCATGTGAAAACTTCTATTTGTGCTGCTTTAAAAAAGAGGACTTGAAGGCTGGGGTGGTGGCTCACATCTGTAATTTCAGCACATTGGGAGGCTGAGGCCAAAGGATTACTTGAGGTCAGGGGTTTCAGACCAGCCTGACCAACATGGAGATAATCCATCTCTACTAAAAATACAAAATTAGGCAGGTGTGGTGGTGCATGCCTGTAACCCCACCTACTTGGGAGGCTGAGGCAGGAGACTTGCTTGAACCCAGAAGGAGGAGGTTGCAGTGAGCTTAGATGGTGCCATTGCACTCCAGCCTGGGCAACAAGGGTGAAACTCTGTCTCAAAAAAAAAAAAAAAGAGGGCTTGTATTGCCTAAGCTTTGAATTTAAAACAAAAATGCAAAATCTGATTTTAAAAAAAACTTTGTTTTTAATTTGGTTCTATAAGGTTTTTGTACTCCTTGGAAACCATATTACCTCAGGATGCAGTAATACATAGCTATGAGCTGTGGGTCATACTGACCCAGATTCCTACCTTTTGCACTTACTAGCCAAGTTACCTACTCTCTACCTAGGCTTTATTCCTTCTAAAAGGGGGATTGCATACATGTCATATATTGTAAGGAGTAAGTGGAAAAAGAACACATGCAAAGGATTCAGTGTACTTCTTAGCACATGGAAGGCATTTATACAACAGTGGGTCTTTTTTTATATGAAGAAGGCATTTTGTGGGAATTTAATGGAACAGTAGTTCCGACTTTTTTACTCATAAATTCTAGCCGATTGTATTTTAGTTTATAATACCTTATGTTCTCTAATTTTAAAAACATGCAGTTTCATTGTAGAATACGCTCGCATTTGGCTAAAATAAACATTTAATTTAAAATCTTTTAGATGCCAAATAAGGTTTTGCTCATTTATACTTTATTTTTAGTGATTTTTTGCTACTTATACATTATTTCTAATTTTATTTTATTTCTTCAGTACCCTTTACTGTAATTAGAGGGACTTGTTCAAAGTGCCTGTACTGAAGTCATAGCATTCCTCTTGATCTATATTCCCTTTAGAATATTCCTTGTCTTATTTTCGCAGATCAAATCTTACCTATCCTTCGTGTCAGAATGTACATGCCACTTTTAAATAAAGCTTTCTCCAGTCGTTACAATTGAAAGTAATAATTATAGTTTCTGAAGCTTCATAGTACCTTATCTGTAACTTGCTTATGACAGTTCCTATTATCATTTTATTTGGAAAGAATTACTTGCTTTTCTCTTGAGATATAAATTTATGCAAACAAAGACCTGTCTACTCATAATCCTAGCATGGGGATTTGAACATCACTGGATCTCAATAATGATGATTCAAGGGAACAAAACTTGTCTTTACTGTAAATTAAGAATTCATTATCTTTCAGCAAGTGAGAGATCAGGGGAAGTAGTATGGATTGGTCCAGTTAAATATCTAATATTTGCATGATGATTACAATTTATGTAATTCTCTCACTTCCTGAAAGGCAGAAGTCTATGTACATAGAGCTCATGTGGAACTGGCAGACTTCTAAGTTCAGAGTATTTCCATATTTGACTTTCTCCATTAATGTATGGAAATATTAATGGTTTAGTATATATAACACTACATCACATTTGTTTTCTTTCAATTAATATACAGATAGTAGTCAGAAGTTTGTTATGAAAAAAGAGAAAAAAATGTACTTTCAAAATGTATTTTTTTAATGAGAAATTTTTTGATCTATGGTTTTTCTTAGCTACAGTGATGCTGGCAAAATCTTGGATAGACATTGATATGAATGCCCTTGCCACTTTCACATTATAATTTTTATTGGAAATGTTTTAAATTAGCAGGACATATCTTTAACAAGGAATATTGGACTATTAAATTATTTGCTTAATTTATTAATTATAACATTTAAATAGAAATGTAAATTAATATTCATTAAAATTGTTCTTATTCAGTAATTATCTATAAAATAAATATTTAAAGGAATCACATTTTGCATCTATATCTGGTGCTGGATGATAATGCCTTTCCCTTGTTTTAATAACTTGAAAATTATGTAAATGTTCTTTGATGTATTTATAACACTTTGTATTTTAGCATATTGTTTTTCTCAGGACTGTCTATGGTTTTGATTAAACTTGTATCACTGAGGTGTATATAGATTGCATTAATAATCTTTAACTTCCTTTATATGTAAGTTTATTAATAATACTTCTCTTTCTTTCAAATTCAAGTCATGATGCTGCCATAAAACTGGGCTGAGATTTCCATTATATTGAATTCTTTTTATCTATCTTTACTACTTCAAGCAACAAAATTAATTACTCAGCAATAAACTCTAAGTCTCTGTTTACTTATTTTCTGTCTTTCCTCAAACATTTTGCCAAATAAAAGCACAACAACTTTATTACCTAGTTCCTAGGAACTAACATGAAAAGTACCCTTTTCCAGTTGGAAACCCTAGACTCCTAATTTAGTGTATTTACATTACTCCTTACCTAGAAGAAATCAAATCTTTCCAAAACCCACCCTGCAATAAGATTAATAACTTTTAGGTAGGTTGTTAAAACAACCCCATACTCATTTATTAATAAAACTTTTTCATTTATATGTTCTCTGCCTTCCAAAAGCAGCATAAGTCTAGCAAAGCAAATAAAGCCACTTTCTCCTGCATCATCCTAATCTTAGCAGAATAATGCTTGTCCAACTGAGCATACAAGTCCCTTTCAAACCCACCAACATCATATTCAAGTGTGGCCTAGTGCATCACTCCCCAATGCATCTCCTACTGACATTAATATGTGGTGGCAAAGGGGATCTGTCATTAAATGCTGGATTAAGTAAATTTAAACAAGTTGTTCACTGTAACTCTCCAAGAGTTGAGATTATGTTTAATGTTAAAAGACACATTCGAATCATTTCATTCACAAAGGGTCTTATATCATTTATGTTCTGCAAAATACTGTTACAGAATTCACAGGTCTAATGAAATAGTGTCTTGAAATGGAATTAGAAAATCTGAATGTTAGTTTCTCTATGGGCACTAAGTGTGGATGTTGGTTGAATCATTTAACTAGCTGTGCCATGCTTTCTTCATCTGTAAAATAAGCGAATTTAGATTACTTTTTAAGGTCATATTCGCTGCAGGTCTTGTTTACTTCTACGATTCTAAAAAGTGGCTGTCTTTAACTTGAAATGTATGGGAATAATGGGGAGAAAAAGAATACTGGAAATGTATATGGAGTAGACAAATAATTTTGGCATTATTCTTTACTAAGACATAGAATAAAAGAGGTTATTTGCCATTTTAGCACTTGTGCTAACCATTATGAAATGAGAACATAAAATTACAACTTGTACCTTAACCCAAGACCAACTATATAAAGCATACAATATTTACACACTTGGATGTATCATAGGAACCTCAAACTCAATCTGTGCCAAATTGAACATGACTCTTCCCACAAAACCTGCTTTACTCTCAATCTTTCATGTATCAGTGAATGGTACCATGATCTACAAAACGCTCATGCCTTTATGTTCTCAATTGTGATAGAATGAATAAACCACCCTCTTTAAGGTTCAGTTACCACATTCGTAAAGTGATCTGATTAATAGTAATTACATCATACAATGATTGTGGTATGTAGTAGGGAACATTAGGCACGAAAGAAACACAAGCATTGAAAAATACTCTCCTTGTGTTAGCTTTATTAATGATTTAGGCAAAACATTATAAAGAGCAAAGATGGCATATGAATTATTTCTGCATTGAACTGGGGAAAATCAGAGAAGTTTGAGCTGGATAGACTCTTTTACTAGAGAAGAGAGGATGTGCATCTCATGCTTGATGATCCAGGAATATCAAGTTATGGAGGTGTAATAGATGGAATTCTGTTCTTCCAAAATCCAGATATTGAAGCCCTAACCCCTAATTTAACTGTATTTGAAGATAGAGGCCTTAGGAAGGTAGTTAAGATGAAATGATGAAATAAGGGTGGGATTCTAATCCAATATAACTGATTTCCTTCAAGGAGAAGAAAGACATCAGAGCATGATGTCTCCCTCTATATGGAAAAGGCCATGTAGTGACACAGTGAGAAGGTGGCCATCTACAAACCAGGAAGAGAGGCCTTGCTACAAAGCACCCCACTCAACACCTTGATTTTGGACCTCTGGACTATGGAACTGTGAGAAAATAAATTTACACTGGTTAAGTCACCCAGTCTATGCTATTTTGTTATGGCAGCCCAAGTGAACTAATACAGAGAGACAGACTCTTAAAAACATTAAATGCTATCTTAAATACGGGCATGCCTCAGAAATATTGCAGATTCAGTTCCAGATCATCACAATAAAGCCAGTCACACAAATGTTGTGGTTTCCTAGTACATATAAATGTTATGTTTACACTATTCTGTAGTCTATGAAACATGTGATAGCACTATGTCTAAAAAAGACAATCAACATATATACCTTAATTTAAAAAATACTCAATCGCTACAAAATTGCTGAAGACCATTTGAGCCTTCAGCAAGTTGCAATCTTTTTGCTAGTGGAAGGTCTTGCCTCCATGTTGATGGCTGCTGACATCAAGGTTGGTGGGTGCTGAAGATTGGGGAGGTTGTGAAAATTTCTTAAAATAAGACAGCAATGAAGTTTGTTGTATGGATTGACTTTTCCTTTCACAGCAGATTTCTGTGTGGCATGAGATAATGTTTTATCCACAGTAGAACTTCTTAAAAAATTGGAGTCAATCCTTTCCAACCCAGCTGCCGCTTTATCAACTAAGTTTATGGAATATTCTAAATCCTTTGTTGTCATTTTAACAGTGTTCGTAGCATCTTCACCAGTAGTACATTTCATCTTTAGAGACCACTTTCTTTGCTCATCTATAAGAAGCAACTCCTTATCCAACAAAATTTGATCATGAATTGCTATTCAGTCATCCCTTCAGCCTCCACTTCGAATTCCCATTTTCTTGCTATTGCCACCACATCTGCAGTTATTTCCTCCACTAAAGTCTTGAGTCCTTCAAAGTCATCTAGGAAAGCTGGAATCAACTTCTTCCAAACTCCTGTTCCTGTTGATATGTTGATTTCCTTCCATGAATCACAGATGTTCTTAATGCCAGCCTCCAAGGTGGCAACCAGTGGCTGTGCCTCTTGACAGTCATGTCCTTGGGTAGTTCCTTTCCACATTGAAAACACCCAAACTGCATGACCAGTTGGATACTGTGAAAGTAACAGGATGTGACTTTCAAAAGCAGGTCCTTAAAGGCATTGCAGTTTCTGCCTGGTTTCTTGGCTCTGTTTCTTTGGGGGAAGCCAGCTGCCACGTTGTGAGGATACTCAAGTTGTCTATGGACAGGCACACATGATGAGAAATTGAGGCTAGATGTTCCCATCCCCAGTCTCCAAGATCCCATTTCATTATTGCTAGGACCTTCACCAAGACAAAGACAATTCAGCTTTTTCTGAAGTTTTGCTACTCACAAAAAATAAATTCTGTCTTGGCCTTTGGCTTTGTTTGTTTCTGCCACTGCAGGGATAAGTTTTGTTTGGTTTTGCGTGTTTGTTTTAAATGCTGCCCGGGACTATTTTTGACTCTCATACTTCCTCTTAGGTTGCTGATTAATAAATGCAAGCTTGTCATTTTCTTTATTGTTTCAATGGCCCTTACAAAGCAGACAGTTTTTAAAATTACATGTTAGTCAATGATTAGCCACAGATTGTCCCTGTGGTCTAGTATGTCAAGGATAATAATGCCTTGTAGAAAGAGACAGTTGTAAACTTTTTTTTGTTTTGAGATGGAGTTTTGCTCTTGTCACCCAGGCTGGAGTGCAGTGGCGTGATCTCAGCTCACTGCACTCTGCTCTGCTTCCCAGGTTCAAGCGATTCTCCTGCCTCAGCCTTCCAACTAGCTGGGATTACAGGCTCCCACAACCACGCCCAGCTAATTTTTTGTATGTTTCATAGAGATGGGTTTTCGCCATGTTGGGTAGGCTGGTCTTGAACTCCCGATCTCAGGTGATCCACCCTGCTTGGCCTTTCAAAGTGCTGGGATTACAGGTTTGAGCCACCACTTCTGGCCAGTTGTAAACTTTTAACTGCCGAGAAGGTATAGTAGCTGGAGGATGGATATGCTGGCTGGCTCAATTAAAGGAATCTAGGCATCCATAGGCATACCAAAAATAAAAAAGTTTAACAACATACTTCATGAAGAAAAATTTTCCTTTTAGACTGGCAACAAAATAAGGCTTTCTACAAACATCACTTCTATTCAATATAATAAAGGAAGGCAAGAAAAAGAAATAAAAACACTAATAAGGTAGAAACGAAGCTTCATGATTTGTAGCCTGTCTCATGTTCAATTCCGTAATTAGCACTTTTCTGGACTTCCACAGCACACTCTGCCCTCAATCCTTAAGACCTTTTTCTCTTACTGTTACTTGTGATTTCTTCTGATGCATGTCTGTGACTCCCTCACAGCATTAATCAAATACCCTCTGGATGAATTGAGACTCCAATAAATACATATCAAATCCAGCAGCTTAACTTTTGCCAATATGGCAAAAATTCATGAGGGATACGTTCCAAGACCCCCAGTGGATACCTGAAACCGCAGATAGGACTTCATTCTAAAAATGCTATGTTTTTTTCATATACACACATACCTATGATAAACCTTAATACATAAATCAGGTATAGTAAGAGATGAACAAAAATAATAATTAAATAGAACAATTATAACAATATACTGTAGTAAAAGTTATATAAATGTGGTCTCTTTCTTTCTCTGTCAAAATATCTTAGTGCATTGTACTTAACCTTCTTGACCATGGGTAACAAATATGGAAAGAGAAACTGTGGCAAAGGGGGCATTACGGTACAATATTGTACTCTTCTTCCATAGTCTGGAAGAAAAATGACAATTTCTGTTGGGGAAAGCTCAGAAACTGAATGGATTTGGATGCCCAGAAAAGAATGTCTGGCAGTTTTCAACTAAGTCAGCGATAGTAAAACAAAATTGGTTCCATGAGTTGAAACTGCTTTTAATTTTATCCCGGACTTTCTTCCCAGTTTTCTTGGTTCTCTTAGAAGCTGTCCAGATTTGCTTGGGTAAAAATCGATATTGGAATATGACATATAAAACCGGGGGAGGAAGAGGCATATGATCATTAACTGACTCCCTGGTTCAATTCGTGTTATGATTGCTAGCATGGCTTCTGTCCAGGCAGAATGTCATGCTTGTTGAAGAATGAATGACCTCTGCTCCAGACAGTGTATCACACATTCTGCAGCTTTGGGAAGCAGGCTTAGACAAGATTGGAACCTAGACAGACAGACAGACAGACAGACAGACACAGGTCTTTGGTCCTTCAAAAGCTAACAACAGTAGAGCCCCAAGGTTGCTCCTATTTTCTTTGGTTTTTATTTTAGAAATGTGTTATTTATTTAAAATTTCAAACATATGAAAAAATGGAGAGAAAGGTATAATAAACACCTGTCACATCTTGCTTTAATAATTAAATCATCTGTTTCATCTATTTTTGGTAAAATTTTAAATACTGATTACAGATGTCATAATAAATAATTATTCCAGTATGTATCTCTACAAATTAAAACTTTCCTACATAACCACTTATCACATCCAATAAAATTTATAATTTCTTAAAATCATTTATGATCAGTCTTTGTCTGCCTGTCTCCATTAAGTTTTACAATGCCTTTTAGAGCTAGTTCTGTCAGACCCTGATTCAGTTAATAAAAGCCTACAACATTTCTCTAATGTATATTTTAATGTAGAACATTCCTCTTCCCCTGTTTTTTCATGACATTAATTTGTTGAAGAGATGGTATCCATTTTCCTTTAGAACATTTGATTTTTTGAAATGTGTCTGATTGTTTCCCTGTAGGAATGTTTGATTTGTACCTCGCTTAGGTTTTGGAATTTCCTGTAAATCGGTAGTTTAGATGAAAAGATTTGATTCGATTTCAGTAAATTAATTAGAGAGCAAAACACTTCTTTGCAAGAATATCTTAAGAATAATGCTATGTTTTTCTTATTGCATCACACCAAAAGCTGGTAATCTAATTACTAGTGTTTCTAACATTGATTATTCATGTAAGGTGTCTCTCTGCAAGCAACCTGTGGGCTCTACCTTACCTCCATGTCCATTCAATTCTCCGTCAACCTTTTATTTAATGGTTTAGCAACCATTCAAAATTCTTGCCTGAATCATTTATTCCATTAAGAGTTGCAAAATGATCACTTTCTGGTTTTGGTTGGCGGTTTTTCTTAGTTCTTGAGTTGAATGATTGGTTCATTATTTTTCAACCTTTCTACTGCATTCTAATATAACATTTAGTGCTATAAAATTATAATCTCTCATGCAAATTTTGATATATATATTTTTATAATTATCATTCAGTTCAAATGTTTTATGATTCCTAGTTCTTTTCTTAACCCATTTGTTATTTACAAGCAGATTTTAAACCTTCAGACTTCTCTTAGAGTTATCTATTTACTATTGTTTTAATTTAATTATATTTTGTTCAGAAGACCATTGTTTTTATAATCCTGATACTTTGGTATTCGGTGAGAGTTGCTTTTAGGCTTAGCTCATGGTCAATTTTTTTTGTTAATTTTCATGCATAATTGAGAAGAATATCTGCTCTCTGATTTTTCTGCATAGGGTTTTATGTATTACTCTCAGTTTAAGAGATTATTGTTTTATTCATCCACCACCTTAAAAAATGTTTAAGTCGGCCGGGCGCGGTGGCTCAAGCCTGTAATCCCAGCACTTTGGGAGGCCGAGGCGGGTGGATCACGAGGTCTAGAGATCGAGACCAACCTGGTCAACATGGTGAAACCCCGTCTCTACTAAAATACAAAAAAAATTAGCTGGGCATGGTGGCGCGTGCCTGTAATCCCGGCTACTCAGGAGGCTGAGGCAGGAGAATTGCCTGAACCCAGGGGGCGGAGGTTGCGGTGAGCCGAGATCGCGCCATTGCACTCCAGCCTGGGTAACAAGAGCGAAACTCCGTCTCAAAAAAAAAAAAAAAAAAAAAAAAAAAATGTTTAAGTCTAGTTAATCTGTTGTTTGGAATGGAGAATGTTAAACCTCCTACTGTTGAGGTGGATTTGTCAATACTTTTCTTGCTGTTGTATCAAGCTTTGCTTTCCATGTTGCTGTATTATCTATCTGATACCCACACATTTAGAGTTTTATATGTATCGAACACACAATTCATTTAATCTGTAAGATCTTATTGGGATAAATAACAGCAACGTTCAATGTTTTGTTCCACTGTGTAATCTCTGTAATTAGTCTTCACGTGTAT